CAAGTGCCATGGCTCACAAGTGCCATAGCAGAACACACACACACACACACACACACACACACACACACACACACACACAATTCAATTTAATAACAACAGTTAAGGACAGCAAAGTAAAACAAGCAAAGAAATTAAGTGTTGTTCCTCAAGATCATCATGATTTTAGTACGAAAAGACTCTGAGACTAAAAAGAAAGTACTCTGCCGCACATGCTCTCTTCTAAGAACCTTTCCTTTTAATGCACGTGACTCAGTGTTAAGTGTATTTAGTCTACTCAAGTTACTTTACTTTCTGAGTCTGCTCTGGATTGCATTTTATACCCCAAATTTAGATTTTATAGTTTACTCACAAGTTATTTCCACTCCATGCTTATCTCTATAGAATATGCTTTTACAATAATCAAAACCATACCAATGGAGTATTACACCAGTAATCCCTGCCCTTGGGAGGCTGAGGGAAAGAACACATTTGTTTGAAGCCAGATTGGACTACACAGTAAGTTTAAGGCCAGGCTAGGCTACAGAGAAAGACCCCATCTTAAAATAACAACAACAATAATAACAGGGGCTGGAAAAATGGCTAAGTATTTATGAGCATGGCTGTTCTTCCAGAGAATCTGGGTTCAATTCCCAGCATCCACAAGGCAGCTCCCAGCTGTCTGTAACTCCAGCCTCAAAGCATCTGATGTCCTTGTCTGACATCGTACACAGAGATGCATGCAGGCAAAACATCCAAACACATAAAATAAGTTAAAAAATTAATAAAGATATACAAATAATAACAATAAAAACAACAAGTCAAGCAAATAGCTTCTCTTACAAAGTTACTCATTACAAATAAAAAAACAAGATTAATTGTTGCTAGCCATAATCCGAGCACTAGAAGTTTACGGTTATGGCAGGGAGATCTGGAGTTTATGGGTGTCTTGGTCTATATAACAAACCACTCCTATCAAAGAACTGAACTTCAGAATGATCACTCACCACTAGCCATCCCTAAAAATGTCTGATGGTTTTCTGCTAGCTGACAATGTCCTCTTTTCTGTGGCACTGCCATTTAAATGTTGGGTCTTAGGTTTTGAAATTCCCCTAATGCACAGATAAATGGAGTAATACCAAGACTTAGCACTGATCTCCAATGCCAGAGCCTTTGGACTAGACTATAAATACAATCACACACCACCTCTCTGCAGGGCGGACCATTCCCTATCCCTACACCTGTGACATGAACACATTTCTACCGGTAAGGCATGCCACAGTGACATCTCACTCAAGTGGGGACATTGCACACCCTGATACTGTGTGTAGGTAATACCTAGTCAACTCTTTCTGAAGTCACACAATGTTCTTTTCATGTCCCTTCAAAGCATATATCAGTCATGCCCACAAGTTCAGCAAATATTGACTCTTCATTTCTCTGGCTACCAACAAAATTGTGTATTTGATTCCTTTCTTTATATCATATTGGACAGTTGTCATTTATAAAATAAAAAGACTGCATACTCAGGAGGCAGAAGCAGGTTGATTTCTGAGTTTGATGCTAGCCTGGTTTATGTACTGAATTCCAGTCCAGCCAGAGCTACAAAGTGAGTATGTCTCTAAACACAAGCAAACAAATGCCCTCCCAGTGCCATTACCTAACTTCTTCAGACAAAATGAAAACCCCCAAAACAGTGCTCTTTATTTTTTATTCATACCATGAGGTAGTTTTTGAGGGGTAAGGGGTAGGAAATCCTAGGAACTTTAAAGTAGGGGCAGAAATTAAAAGACAAAGAAAATGAAGGTAACGGAACTAATGGATCACCTTATCAACACTGTCATAACTGCTACCATGTCACCTTGGATTTTCTGATACGTTTTGTTATTCCCTTTTAAAGAAGCAGCTGCTGGAAGGTCCGTCAGTTCTTCCAAACTTCCCACAGTTCAATGCTAGCCCCTTTAGAAACTTTCAGGTTTGTTTTAAACCTCCTGAAAAGCAGAAACTGGGAGCTCTTGAGCTAGAGTAATACCTTCAGGTGCTTGGGTCCCCAAGTCTTTAAATGCATCATGGCAATAGAAAGCAGACAGTTGATCAGCCTCTTTGCAATTAATCCATGCCCATATAAAGATGGATTACTGTGGGCCAAAGTAGCCCCAAAGAGGCATGGTATACAGTGGCTGCCAAGGCACACTGTATCCATGAATAGAGTTAAGATGTTAAACAAAGTAAGACTTATACAGTTACAAAGTTTCATATGTGCCTTTAAATTCTCTGTAGCCACATTTTAAAAAATACAATTATCTTGGTGTGATGGTTCACATCTTTAGTCCTAGAACTTGGGAGGCAGAGGCAGGCAGATCTCTGTAAATTCCAGGTCAGCCTGGTCTACAAAGCAAGTTCCAGAATAGCCAGGGCTACACAAAGAAACCCTATCTCAAAAACAAACTATCAAACAAATGCCCTAAAATTAAATAAGGGAAATATTAATAACCTGCCTTTCTTCTCTCTACTGTCTTCAATACTCCATACTATATCTTGCATTTAAAACTGGAATCTTGATTCCAGTACTGAATTTTCAAGAGATATTCAATCTGTATTTAGATTCCAAAGTATATGCACATAGTTTAAAAGGTAGACACATATGCTAATGTTTGGTTCCCAAACACACTTAAGTTTACAATACCTGAGCCAAGTATGGTCTTTAAAAATTGAATAAGTTCAAAACTTCAACTCCTCAGCCCCTCTGTATTTTCCATGGCTGATGCCCAGGGTGGCTAGGGCCACTGTAGTGGCAGATACTATCCTGTCAGTCACTTGGACTCTTTTAAACAGGAATCAGAATAAAAGACATTACTCCACTCACCACCAAGTCTTGCTACAGTATATACCAAGTGTTCTAGTGTTTTCATTTCCTATAACACTCTGCTAAGCAGCTGTTTCTGGAAAGCCTGCTGGTAAGGAGAAAGGCAAACCACAATCCAGGGGTATAATGGAGACGTTAAGATACCAGCCAAGTATAGTGGTGCATGCTTTATGCACCCAGGAGGCAGAAAAGGTGGATCTCTGTGTTCGAGGCTAGCCTGGTCTACAGAGTGAGTTCCACGACCACCAGGGTTACTCAGAAAAACCTTGTCTTGAAAAACAAATAGAGATACTGGGGCTAATGTCCAAGGAAAAGGAGAGAAACCTTGACACTGGGGCTTCTTTGTCTAGGACATTAGTCACCCTGTGAAAGTTACAATTATTGTTTACACTAAGTCTCTCGACTTACACAGAACAGCTGTCACTGCATACTCACAGTCTGCCCTTCCTAGCTTCTATAAGATTGTAACACTACTCACAATCCCTCTCTTACACACACAGAAATGAGCTTCTGTTTACACACCAAAACACACAAATAACAAACAAACAAACACCATACCAACTTAGCATTCACTAGCCCCATCTCTCAGCCACCCTTGAGAAAAGCGTTTAGTAACACTCCAACAGTATTCTCTTCCCTCTTCTAGTGTCAAAGTTCACTTCGTTCCCCAAGAGCTGATTTAAAAGTTGATCTGGTAAAGGAACTGGATTCCTAAGGTAGTTCTATTTTGAGTCTTCTTCCTGTTCTGAAGCTAAAGTTGGAAGGGTTTAGGTGGTGATGTCATGGAAGAGAGAGGTGACTTTTTCAGAAGGGTCTTCTCTGGCAACTCTGGGGACACTTAGGCAGTGAATGACTGCTCCCTTCTCCTTCCCACTGGAGTCCCAGTTAGTCACTAGCCAGGAAGAAAACGAATTCTAATAGCAGGCAATCACACTTGCATATTTTATAAGTGAGACATAATAAATGAAAAGATAGAGAAGAAATATGCCTAACTCTAGGAAGGGGGGGTGACTATCTTTCTCCACCGACTCCCTCCAAATATCTATAAGGCTAGGGGCAAAGGGGGCAGAAGAAACAGCTGTTAGGAAGAATTTAGGCATTCCGTGTTGGAGGCTCAGAGAGGGGAATGTTACTGGGGTATTCGGAACCGGAACCCTAGGACACCCCCCCCCCCCCGCCCGTCCAGTCCCTTCTCTTTCCCTCCCTCCTATAAGAGACTTGGGGCTGGGTGTGCCTTCTGCTTGGGAGGCATTTGGCTCTGGAGAACGGCAAGGGGCCAGGGTGCGGCCCACAGGGAATAAAAGCTTAGGCCTGGTTCTGGGCTAAGTTTAGTGGAAGAGTAGAGGAGATGGGGAAGTGCAGATCTGAGTGGAAGACCCGCTGTGGAATTAAAAAAAAAAAAAGCCCACTGGGAGCAAGGGGCATCTCTTTCTCAACTTAAGCCCAACAGTTCATTGCTGGTGGTGTAGGGAAAGGGGGAAAGAAGAGAAAAATTCTAACGTGCACTGTAAACTGCAACTTCTTGGGGACTGGAGAGCTGACGTACCAAACGCCATCAGCAGGTGAAAAAAAAGCACCTTTTACCAATTCTGGGGTGTCGAGGTCTCGCCAAGCCCTAGTGGGCAGGTCACTGCCTGGCTTCTTCGCTCACCTCGCCTCCAAAGCGGGAAGAAGCATAGGTGTGGTCTTTCTCCAAGAAGGTGGCAGCTGGCTACTCGCAGCGAAGGAAAGGATTCCTCACCGGGAAGGAGGGGAGGAGCCCGGGGTCAGCTGTGGCCAGGAGCCAGGGTCTCCGCCAAGTCCCCTCCCCCTCCTGAAAACCGACCTGGACCAGCATCGATTACAGCAACACCCTCTCACCTCCCCAATAATCTAGCTAACAATAATAATAAAGCCAGCCCGTCTGGCTCACGCTTAAAAACAAACAAAACCCCAGACCTCTGAGCGATAGAAATAAACAGGTGAGTCCAGGGATCCGCAGGGAAAGAGCGGGGATGGAAGAAAGGGGGAGGGGGCGTTCCCGAACGTGCGGGGAAACCGAGGCTCTCTCACCCTCTCTCCACTCTCCTCCCTGTCTCCAGGAGTCTGCGTGACAGGCTACGAACCGCAAACCCCACTGTGACAGTCTTCCCGCAGCCCGCGCCCTCCGCTTGCCTACCCTAGGTTCCCGCGTCCTGGCTTCGGGGACCGCGCGGGGCTCGCCCGCACCCCGGCCCGCCGCCGCCGCCGCCGCCACCGCGGGGACTCCTCTCTTCCTCTCTCCGCCTCCTCCTCGCAGACTCCTCCCGCCGGATCCGTCATGTAAACAACATCCCGGCTCTATTTCCAGCGGCCGCGGGACGGCGAGGGAACCGCGCCAGCGCCCAGCCACCGGGCGGGGGTGGGGAAAAGCGAGTGCGCCACAGCTCCTGGCCGGCCCCGCGCCGCCGCCCCGCGCTGTCCACCGCCTACCCGGGCTGGCGCCGTGCGCTCCTGGGCATCCGGCCGCAGCCTCCGCCCCCGCCGCCGCCTCCGGGCCACGGGGCACCCGGCCTCCCGGGTGCGAGCGCCGTGTGCGCGCCGCACAGTCGCTCTCTGCGCCCGGCGGGCCGGCCAGGGCGCGCCATCAGCTCGGGCCCAAGAGCGCGGCACCCGGAGCGCGCACACGGACACCGCCCCCGCGGCCGCGCGCGCCCCGCACCCACCTGCGCCCTCGGGGGTCCCGGGGCCCCCCTTCCTTTGTTCTTCCCGCTATTTGCATGAGGATTATCTAATGACGCAGCGAGGCTCGCCACAACGTGACCGTCGCCATTTTTCTGTTTTTATTCTAGCTCTGCCATGTGATAGATTGGGGAGGGGGGTGGAAAAGGGAGAGAGACAGGATTGGGGAAAAAAAAAAACCAAAAAAACTTCCGGGTCTCATGACCGGGAAGGGAGAAAAACAAAAGGGAGACCAGACACAACTCTCGGCGAAGGCCGTGGTGCGTGTGCGCGCCTGCGCGCCCGCGCCCGCCTGCCTTTCGGTGCCTGGGAGCCGGAGGCTGGGACGCTCAGAGCATCCTCCCTCCAGGCCGGTGATCCGGGCCAGGCATGGCCAGCGTGCTCCATCCTTCTGCCGGGTATCCGGCTGCCTGCCCTTGCCTGGCTCCAGCGGCCCAGGGTTCCATTCAGTTGACAGAATTGAAAGATCGCTGCATTTCCTAAGTTGTAAAACAGTTCTTTTCGACCCTAGTCCTTGCGACCACCGCGTGGCGAGTGCACGCAGAATCGGACCAGTTCAGATTTTCTTTCTGCCCTCCTTTCGCTCTTTTCCTAAAGCTGGACGCACAGCTTAGGTGTGATCTGTGGCGCTGGTGACTTTAGTGGTGAGATGGGGGGGGTCAGAATATTGAGGTAGAATTTTTAAATAAATGGTTATTGAATGCCAGGGAGGGTTGAGAAGACAGTTGCAAAGCACTGGGCAGATTCGTGTTTTGCCGTGTTAATTCACATGTGAAAGGTGTCCCGAGTTCACGCCTGCTGAAAGGATAAGTGCATGGAACTCTGCCAGGTCTCTAGGTGACAGAATTTGGTGCTTTAGGTTACTAGTGTGTTTCCAGGAGCTTTCACTTTTGTTTTCTTCTCTGAGTGCCTCTCTTATGATTGAAAACAGAAGTGGTCAAGTGGAGCATTGACTAGGGCACGGCAACTTACAGATGAAGAACACAGCACAGCCCCTGGCCAGATATTGTATTAGACCCCAGTTTGGATCAAAGCGCACTTGCTACCTGAGGGTGTGAAGAGGAGCATAGTTCTGTGCTGCTGAGGTTCTGTTTGGTAATGTGGTAATGTTCGTGTGCCTAGATCCTTTTTTTTTGTTTGTTTTTGTTTTTGTTTTTGTTTTTCGAGGCAGGGTTTCTCTGTGGTTCTGGAGGCTGTCCTGGAACTCGCTCTTGTAGTCCATGCTGGTCTTGAACTCATAGAGATCCGCCTGCCTCTGCCTCCCGAGTGCTCCGGGTAAAGGCATGTGCCACCCCCCACCCAGCTGTGTGTGCCTAGAACTTAAAGATGGAGAACTCTCAGAAGTGCTGACCCCTCAGGACTGCTGCGGGCTCATGGCCTCTCTCCGACCTCCCTCCTTTTTTGTTTTTTGTTTTTGTTTTGTTTTGTTTTGTTTTTTATCGAGCGACCTCCTTTCTTGAGATTTGACTCAAATACATGTGAACTCATCTCCCTTTCCCCTTCTGCTGGGGTACTTGCCTTGTCATTCAACATGGCTACATGTTTGCTGCCAAGTGTTTCTGTTACGTTCACGGACTTGACAGGTCTCCTCCTTGGGCCATTGTGTCCTTGTAGTATTTATTTCGTGGTGCCTTTCATCATCAGTGTTCAGGACAATGACTGTCTTTTCTACTACTGGGGACAAGCTTTGAGAAACACAACTATCTGCAGTCATCACTATTTTCTTCTGTGAAAGCCGAGGGAGGGAGGCCTGAAGCAGACCTTTCCCACAATCCCATCCTGAGCAGTCTAGGAAATCCTTTGCATGTTTCCGGTGAAGGTTGAACACTGGAGACACTTCATGAATCTTACACTTTTGCCGACCATTCTTGGCAGGCTTCTTCAGTTACACATCCAAGCAAAACATGCTTTGTTCTCTCAGTTTCTTAACTAGCTGATCTTCCCCCATCTTATTTTTACTGTATTTGGCTCCTCTTCTTGAAATTCTTTCTAGTTCAAATAAATAAATTAGTTGTGCTAACTCTTGCTGTTTTGCTTTCATGGACTAGACTACAGATGCTTAATGAAGTTTGAGCAGTGGTTTAATCTTGTTGAGTCTGGAATCAAATCACAGGCTCCGTGTTTTCCTTGGGAGGTGGAAATCGAACCCAAGAAACACGGCCCCTGATCGGCACCCCGAGTCACAGAACCTCTAGATCTGGCATCCTGTGAACTAGCTGTGAATGCTGATGGTGAGCAGGCCGAAAGGGCTGTTGAAACGATGCTAGCTTCAGGACAGGATGCCCAGATTTACAACTTCAACCGATTGGAAAACAGTACAATTCTATTTACAGCTCCAAGGAGCTTTATGTATTGCTAAAGTCGAGGTCATATATATCTGGACCTGGAAGAGTCTGTTGCATAGCTGACTTTATTTGTGTCTATGAATAGGACAAATAATAGCTGGAAGCCCCCACGTGCCACTCCAGATAACAGCAGGATGGTCATAATTTAGCTATAACACCGCCAGCTTTCACTGAGGTGGGGAGAAGCCTAATTATATAACTAAATCATATGTTCTTTTGACTATAAAGCTGAAGAGAAAAGAATGGATAAAACTCCAAGAATGTTATAGGAAACACCCCCATGTCTCTCGCCATCAATATATGAGTGCTCACACATCATTCTGAAGGTCAAACATTAGTCCTCAAGATTACTACGTAGTGGCTGATTAGATGAAATACTTAACAGGAATCCCAATAATCTCCTTCCAGTTGTCAAGTTTATACTTGAAAACTAATAATCACTTGTGTCCTAGTGAGGGTATAGACTTTGCTGTCATTCATTAGTTACTTAATCACTTGTGTCCTAGTGAGGGCAAGGGCTTTGTTGTCAATTGTTAGTTACTTTTGTGTTGCTGCCATAAAACACCATGATCAAGGCAACCTACAGAAGGGTTTATTTGTGATTGTAGTTCCAGAGAGACAAGGGTCCATCCTGGAGCGGGGGCATAGCAATAAGCAAACCTGGCAGCCGATGCAGGAAGCTGAGAGTTCACATACCCGGCAGCAAGAGAAAGCAAATTGAATGAAGTAGGGAGCTTCTAACTCCGAAGCCTGCCTCCAGGGACATGCTTCCCCCAGTGAGGTGCCATGCTGTAAGCCTCTCCAAACAGCACCACCAACTGCAGAGCAGGTGTCCAAATGTCTGAGGCCATGGGGAGCCCCTCCCCATCCCCTCACCCCCTCCTTCCCTCTCTTTGGTTTTTCAAGACAGGATTTCTCTGTGTAGCCTGGCTGTCCTAGAACTCACTCCATAGACCACGCTGGCCTTGAACTCACAGAGATCCACCTGCCTCTGCCTCCCAAGTGCTGGGAGTAAAAGCCACCACTGCCTGACTGACATTTCTCTTTCAAAGTGGAAGTCAGTGCTGAGCTCAGCTCTGACCATCCGTTAACTGTGTCTTCTTGAGCAAATTACCTATTGGTTGTGGTTTTTCACTTCTTTACCCATACGATGAGCGTAACACCTAGCTTTAAATTAGGAGACTTTTTAAGATTGAAGTTTAATAAAAATACATAGGAAGCACTAACCATGGTATCTGGAACATAATCTTCACTAAAGAGTGCCTATACCAGCAGTGGCTCATGCTCTAATCCCAGCACTCGGGAGGCAGAGGCAGGAGGATCTCAAGTTCCAGGCTACCCAAGACAATATTGCAGTAGGAAGACCCTGTCTCAAATACATAGTAGGAAAATTCAACACAGTTACTACTAGTGAAAAGTTCTGTTATATAAAATAACCCAGGATAGGTTCTGCCCTCAAGACATTCCTATTGTAACCTTGGAAAGATGTATGCAAATGTCTAGACAAACAGGTGGGCTGGAAAAACAAACCAAAATACTGCCTACAGTTTTTTGGTGCTCTGCCTAAGATGCAGTTAAGATCTAGACTTATCACTATCCACACAATAACGAAGCCTGGGGTAGCATATGCAAAGCGCTTCCTTCTCTGAAAAATGAGGAGTTATCTTTTCATACCAATGAAGAATATTATCTTTGAAACTCAATCTAATTGGTGTGGTTTTAAAGGGCAGTTTCTCAGTGGGTTTCTTTCACCCATGAAATGTATGCCAGCTTGTATCTTGGAGAAATGTAGTTAATAGGAAGCACTTCTGGTTGTTAATTAATTAAAACAATTTAATCAAGAACCATTTTCGAAGGAACCTGTGTTCCCAGCCCCGAGTCAGGTGCTAAGAAACAAGCAGGATGAAGATAAGGACTTTGCTCTGCACGAACTCATAATCCAGTTGGACTTTATTAAACAAATATGTATTCATTGTTCAGCACGGAGAATTCAGCAATGGACAAGACACTGAGCTTCGTCTATTGGGAAACCTGGCAAGTTAATAATACCCATATTTGTTCAAATTCCTCAAAAAGTGTGTGACTGCCTGGTGATAGCCCACACCTGTAATTCTAGCATTTGGGAGGCAAGAGAGAAAGACTTAGGAGTTGAAGGTTATTCTCATTTATAAAACGGGTTTGAGACCAGCTTGGGTTACACGAGACCCTGTCTGGGGAAGTAAAGAAGTATAAAAATGAAAAGTGTATGATTGGCACATCGTTTGAGCAAGAAAAAAATGTACCTATAATGTATGCCTTTTCAAGTCTTCATAAAGCTTTTGTTTCTCAAGCCAGAAATGACCTTAGAAAAGATAGTTTGATCTCAATAACCCAAGTGAATTTGGGAGCCTCACTTACATAGCAGTGTGCTAGTTTTTCTTCTGTATGTGTGTGTGTGTGTGTGTGTGTGTGTGTGTTTGCTTTTTGGCGACTTGATACAAACTCTGGTCATTTGGGAAGAGGGAACCACGATTGAGAAAAATCTCCCATCAGATTGGTCTGTAGACAAACCTGTGGGGCATTTTCTCTATCAATGGTTCCTGTGGGAGGGCCAAGTATGGTGATATTTTACTTATGAGCTAACAAACCCTTAAAGATCAGAATGCAGAGTTAAGCCACTGCTAGCCACATGCCTAGTTAAGAGCTAAGCCACTAGTTAGCCATAGAGGACAGGCAGTGGTGACACACACCTTTAATCCCAGCACTCAGGAAACAGAGGCAAGTGGATCTCTGTGAGTTCAAGACCACCCTGGGCTACATGAGAGTGAACCAGTCTAAAAGAGAAACAGAGCTCACACCTTTGATCCCAGAACTTGGGATGACATGCCTTTAGTCCCAGCACTAGAGAGGAATATAAGGCAGGAGCTCAGTGAATTCTCAGGTGGTCTGAAGTTTGATATGTGCAGTCACTCTCAGAACAGGATTGTCCCCCTTTGGTCTGAGTCTTGGTAGAGGTAAGAACTCTCTAGTAGCTTGGCTGCTTTGCTCTTCTGATCTTCAGCTTGAACACCAATATCTGTCTCTGGGTTTTTATTATTCGTGCTACAGCCAAGAGTAGTGCCATCCCTGGGAAAGTGGGCCTGGATTGTATAAGAAAGCAAACTGAGCAAGCCACAAGGAACAAGCCAGAAAGCAGCACTCCTTCATGGCCCCTGCTTCAGTTCCTGCCTTGGTTTCCCTTCGTGTTAGAGGGTGAATTTGTAAAATGTAAACACACCCTTTCTGGCCTGGCGGTGGTGGCGCATGCCTTTAATCCCAGCACTAGAGCGGCAGAGGCAGGCGGATCTCTGTGAATGGTTTATTACTACTCAGGGTCATGGTGATCTCGGGGTTCATGGCCCTGTTGCAGCTGTGGTCTTTGCTGATGTCAATGGCTCCTGATACCACCAAAGGCCCAAAAGATAGGGCTATACAGAGTTGTCCCCGCCCCTCACTAGGACACTAGTGAGAACTAAGTGGTCCTGTCCCTCAGTGACTGCAGTGCTCAGGAGAGAGAGAGTCCTATACCTCACCTGGGCAGCACAGTTCAAAGGGGGAATGGGTGAGCTGGCCCTGAGGGCACGAGAATGGAAGAGAGGGTCAGATCCCTCTCCTCCGCCATGTGGTGGCATTGATGAGGGAAAGTTGTCTTCTGTTGGGGAAGTCCTGTGTATATGTCAATAAAGCACTGTTGGCCAATAGGGAAGCAAGATAGGTGGGACTAGGAGTCCAGGAGGACTCTGGGTAGGAGAAACACAGGGAGTCAAGATGTAACGCCATAGGGATAAGAAGCCCGGAAAGTTCTCCAGTAAGAGAAATACTTAGATTAACAATTATAGGATAAATACTTAAGTCAGAGCTAGCCAGTAAGAAACAAGCAAGGCCAACAGCTTCATATTAATATAGCCTCCTGTGTGTTCATTTGGAACTGATGCGGCTCTGGAACCAGGCTGGCAGGAAGGCTTTCCCATTACAGTCTTCCTTCCCTCACCCCTCACCACCTGTAGCAGGTGGGGAAGCTGACCCAACCCCTCACCAGCTGCAACACTGGGGCTCTGTGTCTCACTTGGGCAGCACAGTAGAGTTGACCCTGTAGGCAGGAGTGCAGGTGAACCAGCCTTGGGGGCATGAGAATGGGATGAATGGGATATCCGGTACCGTCTCCCTCTCTGTGGTGTGGTGGTGGATGCAAGGGGAAGATGCCCTCCTCCCTCACCCCTACCACCTCCAGCAGGCACAGGAAGCTGCGGGACTGGGGAAAGTGGGCCCTGCCCCTCACCTGGGCAGCACAGTCAAGCTGTCCCTGTTGATGGGTGGGGAGATGGTGGTGAGCAGGCCCCAAGAACATGAG